TTAATTTTGATCTGAGAACAAATACTATGAAGTTTTTAATCTTCTTCTAATATGTCATCAGTTTTCTAAATGGAAAAATGTACTTAATTGACATAACTAATTTAATTTTTATTTAAAATTTAGTCATATTTCTACTCTTATAAATAGATAATATGAATTTGTTAATCTTTGAATGTTATTTTCAATTTTGATAATTCTTTTCACAGAATACAGATCAATATTACATGTTTGAATGAAATATTAAATATATACATGCACTGGCACATGCCTTTAATCCCAGCATTCAGGAAGCAGATGCAGACAAATCTCTGTGAGATCAAGGCCAACCTGGTCTAGATAGTAAGCCAGACACCTGGTGCTAAAGCACATATATATGCTGTATATGTATATAAATTCTATCATTCTTTTCTATAAACTTACATATTTAAAAAAATAATAAAAATGTTAGTGTGAATTTTCACATGAGATAGGATTCCTCATTTTTATGAATTTGTGATTGAGAACTTATACTGCAAATATATCACAAAATGGTAATCTGGAGTTAAAGAAAATATGAAATTCCCAGTGTGGTTAGAGTTTAAAGTTTTGAGATACCAGCAATATGACTATCATATTATTAGGAACTATATAGGAATATTTTTATATTGCTAGCTCTGTATTTTTTAATTTACTTTGAGACAGTGCTTAGGACTGTCACTTAAATATTTATTAAGAACCTTGAAGGAATCAGAGAGTCAATTATTAATATGAATCAAAATAGACATAACTTTCTTTGGCTAATTAATTTTAAATTTTCATATGCATAATCTTTTCTCATTTCAGTATTCACTACTAAATATTTTAAAATTAAGAAGACCCTTTAAAGTCTGTTGCTATTCTTATAAGTTTAATTCAGTGTCTCCTCATCAGAACACAATAAGAACAATGAGCAAAATGACCTCTGATTTATACACAGCAAAGTTGGATTCTGGGCCACATCAAACTCTCTTAGCTATTTTCTGACTTTGTTTCAGCATTTAGCACTTATTTCTAGGCAACTTTTATATTCTATCCTTAAATTACTTAAACTTCATAATTTAAAGCCATTGCTGTGTTATATATCTTGACTGGCATAAAATGATTCTGATGACCCTGTTTGAGGAACGTGAAAAATGATTTTGTTACGTGTTTTAACTTGGAAAATAGAACTTGTTCTATGAGTAATTTCTTCTTCTATTTTTTTCAGTACAATAATACTGTAGATGGAGTTTATAAAGTTTTCAATGGAAAGGATAACATAAGCAAAGTTGCCATAATTGACTCTTATAAAGGGAAAAGGCAAGTAACTGGATAGTCTCTCTCTGTCTCTGTCTCTGTCTCTGTATCTCTCTCTCTCTCTCTCTCTCTCTCCTCTCTCTCTCTCTCTCTCATGTGTGTTTGCCAAGCACTAGGGTATTCTAAGGTACTAAGGATATATATTTTGCCTCTGCTAAGATGCAGGTACCAATCTATGAAACACACATGGCTATGGCTATAGATTTAATCTTGGTAATTACTGTGTTGCCAGTACTTAAACCCTTCTTCATGTCACTGGCATGTTCACAGCAGTACCTAGCTTAAGTAGTCAAATTTCAGCCAAAATAACATTTAGCAGTGTGTGCACATGAAAATTTTGCCTTTATTTATAAGTTTTCCTATACAATGAAATGTTGCGTTTTGATCTTTGCAGCATGTCTAGCATCCATATATTAGGAAATTACAAATTTTAATAAATGCTGAATCAACTATCTTTGAATTAGGCAAATTTATTGTTTTAAAGCTTTTTAAAATAAGCACTTGAAATAAAATTTGTACATTCCAGTGGCCTGACAAAATGTATACATGTAGAAGAAGCTGAATGTGTCCATGCAGTTTCTGAATTCCCCTGCCATAGCCAACTTTTTCTACTGATGGAAAAATGACATTAGTATTACAAAGAGCGTAATGGAGTTTTCATAATGCAAACCACATCAGCTTTAGATGAGTGAAAGAATGAAAATTGTTTCATGAAGTCATTTTTTTTCTCCAAGTTCTTGCCAGTTCACACAAAGCTTCAAAATTTTTCATATGTATGAAATAGAAAGAACCCTAATGGCTATCAGGAGAGAAAGTGCTTTTTTTTTCTCCTAAAGTGTCATAATTGTGCTTTAATTCAATTATTTCTTAAAGAAAACTAACATAAAGCAGAATTAAAAGAGAGTAAGTGAATTTATTAACATAAGTAACAATTGCTTCCAACTGAGTCCTTATGTAACTCCAGTGTACAATAGTTCAATGTTTCCTATTACAGTGCTTTTTCATCTTTGTGGTTGCATGTTTTATGAAAAAGTCTAATGGAGTAAACCAAGTAATTCTAAGTGTTTATTTCTGGGGAAATAATATCAAAGAATATCTCATCTCATTAGATACAGGACTGCTGCATGGCTTTGAGAAGGGTTTTTTAACACTTCTGGTTGGATTAGAATTGCACATAGCTGCCACATTTTAAATTTATTCAACACCCAGGCCAAGAATGATAAGCAACACATTCTTTTAAAGATTGAGCCACAGCATATCTTGATATCTTACTGGAGTACAAAATACATTAGGAGTTGGAAATATTGCATTTACTATCACTAAGAAATGGCAAAAAATATGCAGGGAAATATAATTCTATTTTTAATCACTGCCATAATATATATATATATAATAACTTTTAGATACTAAAACACAAATAAGTTCTTTCCTATTTGAATGTTGTTCCCTACAAATCTAAAATAGGAAAATATAAGATCTGCAGAAGTTAAACTGAGAAAAAAATCAAACATCTGCGTTTCAAATTCTGTAAATTGGAACATGGGATTCTCTGCTTTTCATCCTCCCATCTCTCTTCTGCATAATGTTGAGTTTATGTCAGGAACTCCTTAATCAACTTCCTTCTGACTCTGTAAATACTCAACAATCTACCAAATAATTCACTAAATTCAATAGAAAAACGTCCAAGTAGATACCTACATTTCTTATAATTTTTTCCAATTTTTTTCTTGAAAAAACAATGTCAATTTCAAGTTGTTTCTGGTTAACATAGCATTAGTAAATTGTATTTTATGATCATTCCTTTAGATGGCATCAAGAACTTCCTTTATTATGATAAGATTCGGAGATCAAAAATGGATTAAACAAGTTAGAACATTATCTTAGCTTCCGTCACTTATAATCTTCATTATGTTAGCAAAAGTAGTGTTTCAAAATAGAAATGGTAATGTGAATAAGGTGCTCTTGAAGTGGGAATATTTGTTCATTTTATTTCTTTTATTCCTAAGGAATCTCTCCTACTGGCCAAGTTATTGCGACATGATTAATGGGACAGGTAAGAACCTTTGTGTTAATAATCAAAGTGAACCAACTTCAGCTTCTCCACAAATCTACCACCCAGCCCAAGAGATTCTGAAGGTTGAGGGTATGTGCTTACTTGTCAACAGAACGCAGAGATTTTGTTTTCAAATAGGCTCAGGACCTGTCTACTTAATGTGATAAGATTTCTGAGATTAACCATACAGGACTGGCCTCCATTGGTTACTAAGGAAATATTGCTTTGTTATTATCACATATAATAAACTATTCTCCAATAAGTCACTAAACAAATAGGCGACCATAGCAGTATGGTTACTATGCAAATATTTTCCAAATATTAGGCATAACTTACTTGTAAAAAATATAAAACTCCACATAATTACAAAAGAGATAACACCTCCAAGAGAGATTCAAAGCTGCGGTAAAGCCGGTGGAGTTGCAGAGCAGAACCAAACCATTTTGGACAAGTTGATCAGAATAAAAGAGAAAAACAAACAAGTAAACAACAGAAAAATAAGGTTAGAGGCCTACTATCCATGAAGAACATGTCTTAAAAATGTGAGTGACCTGAATTAGATTTTTGGTGCAAAGAAAGAACTAACACCTTTGCTTTAGGATAAATTAGATTGAGATTATCATTGCTCTTGTACAAGAGCAAAGCACTTTCTCTGTTCACTTAAGAATTAAGATTTTTACAAAAGGGGTTTCAAATGCCATGAAGTAATTAAAAATCAGAGGCATGCTTTCAATTACTGAGAAACACATGAGTAATGTTTACAAAGTAGGCGAGGGAATACTCAATGGAAAATGAAGTAATGGAGAGGACGAAACTTAAATTAAAAGGAAGCACAGGGACGTTCACATCTCCAAAGGCATAATTGAGTTTTGCATGTTTATTTAATTGTATTCCTATCTTGTAGGAAAAAAATGCACTCCTGATTTGTTTTGTAGGGTTTTGAGCAATGACAATGATGTTTCTAAAGAATTCTTCCAAATGAATTGTCAAATATCTCAAGTACTTTAATAGTTGCATAAGCCTGCTAGTTCGTAAAGGCAGAGAGAAATGTATTGTGCTATTCCTAAATAGTAAGGGATACTTTGTGTTTAAGAGAAAAATCACTTTAAAATCTGTTCAAAACAGAGAAACAAAGGGTAGAGAAATGACTCAGTGGTAAAGACAACTTGCTGCTCAGTCATGGAGACCAGATTTCAAATACCAGCACCCACATCAGGTTGTTTCCAGATGTCTGTAATCCCAGTTCGAAGAACTCCAACTCCCTCTTCTGGACTCTATGGGCATGTACACAGAAACATGCACACAGGCATAAATAAAATATATAAAAACTGAGAAATAGATATTGGCTTATCAAATGGTGGTATAGGTTTGAGAATTTAATAGTGACAATGTCCTAGATGCATGAACATCAGATATGAAGCTGACAGTGTGTAAGCAAAAGAAAGATACAAAATAAATCAGAAGCAGAAGTAGGCCAGGTAAGGGGGATCCCTGGGTTGGGATTATGGGACTAGGGAAATATCCCAGTGTGTGTTTGTCATACTTTGAAAGTTCAACTTCCATCTTCAGTTTGAAAAACCATCATACGAAAGGACTAATACAACTTTAGAACGTTTTGTTTAAGATAAACAGCTCTCTGGAGATGGGGGGATGTCTTTGTCAGTATACTGCCTGCCAAATAAGCATAAGAACCTGAATTAGATTCCTAGAAACCATGTGAAAAATGTTGGCCATGGTGGCATGTGCTTGTAATCCCAGAGTTGGGAAGGTTGTGAGAGGAGGATCCTTGCAGCTCACTGACCATCCTGCCTAGCCTAATCAATGAGACAGTTCCGCTCAAAAATAAATGTAGACTGTACTTGTAGAATGCCATCCAAGTTGTCCTCTGGTCTTGACACACATGTATACACACCTGGATACACATCCACACACAAACATGCACCTTCACACACACCAATAAAAATAGGGGTCTGCTAACAGGTATCTTATGGTCATTGCACACAGTAATTCCTGAGTTTAATTATGACATGTCTTAAATGATATTTCAGATAGCAATTTTTAAATGTTTGTAATATATTTTTCTTTTGTTTTTAAATTATTGGACTGACATCTATAGACAATGTCTGTACTGAGACAAATTTGGAGGATTTAAGCCAAATTTTTCTATTTAGTCCTTTAGAGGTCACATTCAAATAGTGATCACAAACGTAAATGAAGGGCAAAGCTAGAATGCATAGTTGAAGGCTATGTCACATTGTTTTAAATAAATACATTCAGTGGTGGCTCACTTTGGTCATATTCATTGGAGAGGCAAATTGAAGAGTCCTCTAATTATGTCTTCAGTTCTTCAGTGTGAGTTTTGGAGGACAACTGCTTAGAAAAATCAGTAAATTCAGTAAAATGATTTTTTAAATTTGATGAATGTTTTCAAAGCATTTTTAGGAAACTCTTTTCAGTGAGACTTCAATTAATGACTAAAATATTATTTAACCATTGGTACAAAAGAAGAGATCACTATTTAAAATAATAGCCATGTTGATACAGCAGGGTTCTAAATGGCCTTATATCAAGATATTAGTGCCAACATAATGATGACATAGAATATTTCAAACATTAACAACATCTAGCTTTATCAGTTTTTCTTTATAGCAATGAAAATGCATAGTATATGTATCTGTTGTTGAAGCTGATAGCTTCTAGCCTGATGTGGTTTTTAGGTAGTGGAAATATGGCTGCTGATCTATTTCATTCTGTTATTGTGATAAAACACTGTTAGCAAAAGCAACTTGGGGAGAAAAGGGTGTGTTTGGTTTACACTTTTAGGTCACAATCCATCATTGAGGGAGGTCAGGGCAGGAAATCAAGGCAGAGAAGCATAGAAGAAGAAACCATGGAGGCATACTGCTTGGTAGCTAGTTTGGATATAGCTAGCATTCTCATATGGTCCAGGAAATGGTACCACCTACCATGGACTGGATGCTTCCACATGAATTGATAGTCAGGATGACTTCCACAGGCATGCCCACAGGCCAATAAGATCTAGGAAATTCCTCAATCATGGCGTTCCTTTCAGATGACTCTAGGCTGTGTCAGTTAATAATTCAAGCTAGTTAGAACAGCTGCTGGGATTTAAATGTGCTATAAATGAAAAATGCACCCTGGACTTTGGCAATGAAAGACATTTCTATATATGTTGAAATAATATTTTGCATATTAAATGAAATATACCTGCTTTGTTACTTTTTTAAGAATGTGACTATCATACTGAGTGGTAGAGAGATGGCCCAATGATTAAGATCACTTGCTGCTCTTCCAGAGGACCTGAGTTGAGTTCCCAAGACCCATGTTGGAAGATTCACAACCACCTGTAACTCCAGCTCTGGGATGTTATGTCCCCTTCTGGCCTTTATAGGAACTGCTCTCACTCAAATGTACAAACATTGACAGACATGCACACATAATATAAATAAAAATAAGAATAAAATAAAAATGTACAAGTTTATGTAAACATAAATATATTTATACTGAGTATGATGGAAAGAGATATTTATAGAGTTTTCTAGAGTTCACATCACATTTAAACACTTGCCACTGGCCTGATTTTTAACAGATGCATCCTCCTTTCCACCATTTGTTGAGAAGTCTCGAGTGCTGCAGTTCTTTGCCTCTGACATTTGCAGGTGAGTTACTGGCATGTGGAAGTAATATTTCTCTCTCAAGTTTTAAAATGGAGCATAGTGGGGCTGGAAAGATTGCTCAGTGGTTAAGAACACTGGTGGTTCTTTCAGAAGACCCGAGTTCGAATCCCAGCACCCACATGGCAGCTAACAACTGTCCTTAACTCCAGTCCCAGGGGATCCGACCTCTTCTGACCTCCACAGGCATTGCACGACACAGGTACACTTACCTGCATGCAGGCAATACACACATACACATAAAAATAATAAATAAAATATAAAAATAAAGTAAAATAAAATGAAGCATAGTAAATGCTTCTTTATTCTTTATGTCACTTGAAAAAAATGCTTAAAATTTTTCCTTGATTTCAAAAGATTAAATGGAAGAGTATGGAGTTAATATTTATTAACACTCTCAAATGACTTATAGGTATCAAATATAGTACAACTCGTTTTCTTTGCCATTTCTAAAGACTATTTTTCATGCCCCTTAATAGACTTTCATCATATAGCAATCAAGTCTAGGATGGAATGCCCAGTCTTTCTAAAGGTGATCAGAGAAGATGTAGAATATTTTGCAGATTAGTGGAATCCAGTAGATACCCCAGAAACACAGGAGCCACACCACTACCTCTGAACCACAGTCCTAGCCCTGAGGACTGAGACAGCAGGCAAAAACTGGATACTTCAGAATCATTTCCTTAAGAATAAGATTGCTGAGAACAGTGCTTCTCCACACAGGCTTACCTGGGGATCAGAAGGAGCACATAATGAGCCCTAGCACTTTACTAGGTTATAGTGGGTCCCGGGTAAACCACAGAGATCAGTACCAATCACATTCATGCACACATCCCACCAAGCAGATTTTTAGATTAAATTTTAAAAGATAGGAACTTCAGTTAGATTTGGCAGAAATAAAGAAGTTGAAGTAAGGCATATAAATATTTCTTCAATAAAGGACTGCAACTATGAGAAGGATCTCTAGTATATGTCCTCCATGGTAGCTCACATGTCACACTTGACCTGAGAAACTTTTGAGAACAAAAGAAGGCTACTTCATATTTCATCTCAGGTTTTCAATTCCAATGTCTTAAAATATAAAAAAAGAGCAACAAGAACCCCCAAATTTTATGTGAGGGAAGGAGGGCTAAATATGATTAAAAATTATTGTATAAATTCCACAAAATTCAATAAAAAGATAAAAAGCCCATTTTTCCTAAGAATTAAAAAAAAAGAATTTTAAATTCTATTAAGAATATCTAATTTTTTTTGTCTTATTGAGACAGGGTCTCCCTGTAGCCCCAGCTGGCATCTATAGACCAGGCTGGCCTTCAACTCACAGAGTGCTGAGATTAAAGGCATGTGCCACCACGCCCAGCTTGATTTTTTTTCTTAAGTTAAATCAAGAATATAGATTAAATTTTAGAAACAAAATAATTTCTAGAATATGATTTAGGTTCCTAAAATGAAGCTCTTTGTTTCAATCCCTGTGTAGATCAATCTACGCTGTGTTTGGATCTGAGGTTGACCTTAAAGGAATCCCCGTGTACAGATTTGTTCTTCCATCCAAAGCCTTTGCATCTCCAGTCCAGAATCCAGACAACCATTGCTTCTGTACTGAAAAAATCATCTCAAATAATTGTACCTCATATGGTGTGCTAGACATCAGCAAATGCAAAGAAGGTATGTAAATATCCTCCGTGTCACACAGGATCCAGGTTCCTGGCAATATATTTATTTAAATTAATTGGGTTTTTATTCTATTATTTATACTGAAAGTTAGATATGGCTAGAGAACATTGTATTATGTAAAATAAGCCAGATTCAGAAAGACAAATACAACAAGTTTTCTCTTATATATAGAATCCAGAGTTAATATTTTTGTTGTTTTTACTATTGTTTGGTTTTGAGATAGAGTCTCATTATATAGCTCTGGCTAGCCTGGAACTTGCTTTGCAGACCAGGCTGCCCTCAAACACACAGTGATCGGCCTGACTCTGCTTTCCCAATGTTGGGATTAAAGGTATGAGTCACCACATCCACTTCAGTGTCAAATCTTAAATTCCCTCTCTCTCTCTCTCTCTCTCTATCTCTCTCTCTCTCTCTCTCTCTCTCTCTCTCAAGTCTTGAAAGCAAAATGGAACCATGATAAAAAGGAAGAGCTCTTCAGACAGGGAAGAGACATGTTAAGAATGAGGAAGAGATGCACATTTGTGGGGGGAAGGGTACTAAGCAAAGGGAGACGAGGATGTGGTGAATACGAATAAAATATAAGAATAGAGCTTAAAGTGATGTAACATTCATTCAAAATGCTTTGTATTGAAAATTTTGAGTTAACGAAAGCAATAACAGCAAGATGTCACCTTTGGTAGCAGGACACTCTGCTGCTGTTTTTCTTTTTCTTTCCTTTTTTTTTTGGAGATCTCTATTATGTTTCAATATTGCAAAACTCTGTTAGTGGGAAAATCATATGAATCATGCCAGCAATATGCTCTTTTACTTTGATGGTTAGAAAGAAACACATTCCCAGGATACTCTAAACTTCACAAGGTGTATATCTGCCATAGTTGTAACTACTTTTTTTTCTCCTTTTAGGATAAGGTCTCCCTGGAGTCCTGGTTGGCTTAGAACTCCCTATGTAGAACAGGGAAGCCTCAATTTCACAGAGATCCACCTCCCTCTTCCTCCTGAGTGCTAGATTAAAGGTTGTGCCACCACGCCCAGCTAGTTGTAACTTTTTCCCCCTAGAATATGAAAAATAAAGTTAAGCAGGATTTTAATGTGTTCCTAAAACAAGAATTGGAAAACAAAAAACTTTAGAGCCTGTTTTGTCTTATTGTGTTTGGATTATAGAGGGCACAAATGAAGAAAGAACAAACTGAGACTTTCAGTGGAGAAACTTAATACCAGCTGAAATAGGGAATAGGAATACATGTATCAACTGTGCACCAATGTTGTTTCAGGAACTTTGTTAAGCAGTGAATATTTGCATACTGACACTTAACAGTTAAAGAAAAATACCAATGGACTGCTTAGTAAAAAGATGCAGTTTTTGTTATTTTGGCTTAACAGTAGCCAGATATAATTCTCCCATACTTTTAACTATAACTGGAGTTAAAACCAACTACCTTTTAAACTACAAAATCTTCAATTTTAAGAAAATTCTTTGAGTGCTATGTGCAATAAGTAATGTATTTCTAATCAAGCCCTAAAATGTATTTTCAGGAAAACCTGTCTACATTTCCCTTCCTCACTTCCTACATGCAAGTCCTGATGTTTCAGAAGCTATTGAAGGCTTAAATCCGAACGAAGAAGAACATAAGACCTACCTGGATGTGGAACCTGTAAGCAAATGTCTCATTGATTAATAATTTCCTTTAAAATATAAAGAAAATAATTTTTTCATCACACTTTTGGATCACATCCTTAAAATTACTAAAGTAGCCAGTGAAAATAGCATTGGCTTCTTCCCATTGATACATGTGAATGTGTATGTGAATGGCAAAACCATTCAGTGTTAGTTTCAACACATGGAACTTTATAAAGCTTTTGAATGGACCATAGATCAGGGGCACTAATGTTGAAAGTCTAATTGCCTCACAATTTAAAATATATTGCTACTATATCATACTCACCTACTGGTAATGCTTTCGTGAGGAATCAATCTGGCTTTCAGAATTGAAAGATTTTATGAATATATATATACACATATAATTTTCAAAGTCTATAATAAAAATCTGTGCTAAAAATTGATAACACTACTATTAACATTTAAATTACCTTGATATTGTCTATCTCAAAAGTTAAAGGAGAACTTGTAATGCAGCTAAGTAGTAGAACACCTGTGTACCCTGGCTTTGCTTCTCAGCATCTTACACACAAAAATGTAATGAGAAATTTCATACTCATACTTCTGTTCAAATAACGATAATATAATTATAATACTACTTTCACTAGTACATGGACTCTGAATAAACACATCTTTACGACATATAATTCAAAAATTAATGACCTACCTACATGTTTTTTGTCAGTTTTATTTTTGTTGTTTTTACAATGTGCTGGTACTGATGTTGATTTCCTCATAACCAGATTAGACAAATTTTACAATTTAATTGATACCTTGAATGTTAGGTAGGACAAAGAATTTGTATGTTTGTATACGTATGTGTATGTGGATATAGTATATACACACAAATAAGTATAAAACGTGAACATTTTCTTTTGCATAATATTTAATATATTTAATAGATTCCAACTGATCTTGCAGCTTTACGTAGTTTTCCATTTTAAATTCTTCATGGTTTTCTTACTGCCACAGCAAAAGTAAAATTTGCATATTATAAAAAATGTTTTTCGAAATCTGACACCTGTAGTTATTTAACTTTATTCTTTATTTAGATAACTGGATTTACTTTACAATTTGCAAAACGACTACAGGTCAACATACTCGTCAAGCCAGCCAGAAAAATTGAGTGAGTTTCTTTAATAATATTGTCCTTATGTAAGTTGTAGCATTTTTCTTATAAGAATGTGGGTATATTCATGAAAGTGAAAAAATTGTAAAATATGCACTTGAATTTAATGTCAATAATTAGGTACTTAAGATATTTTTCACCTATAATAAAGACTATCTCTACTGTTTACTGAATTTGCCTTCATATATTTGGAACTTTTCAGTCGGATGTAGTATGGCTGCCTCTCATTTGCTACCTACCCACTTATTTCTACTATAATACCTTGTAGATTATATTTTATTTTCCTTCATAAACCTTCAGAATTGCATACCTGGAAAAAGTCAATATAATTAGAAATATGTACTGGACTGTTGAATAGGAAGTCTGTAAAACATGTTAAACTGAATAATTGTACAGAACATAATCAAGGAATATAAGCAATATGAAAGAGTAACTGTGTACTGGACATTTAGTAATTCTAAATGTCTTCTAAATATACATAAATATACAGATAATCATTTTCAATGTGTATTCCAGAGCATTAAAGAGTCTGAAGAGACATTATCTTGTACCTATACTTTGGCTTAATGAGGTTAGTATATTTATTACTCATTTATAGCAATTTCATATGAAAACTGTAGATACATTAAAATAGCATGTGTATTTAATATTTGAGATTGTATTTGCATTGCCTATTTTTATGACATTACATATAGATATTTATATATATATGTTTGATATAACTAAATTGTACAGAAATATTTGTTAAAATTCAGGGCTTGTTTTTTAGAAAGCCAAAGATTTTTACATTTTTCCTCATCATACCACTTAGGAAAGAGACATGCGTCCATGTAATGTCATAGAAATCAAGACTCCCCAAAGTTAATACTGCTATTAAAGAACAACTATGCCTAGAAAGGCCAGCTGGAAGGAGGCTGCCTTTCTTACTGCCCCATATGCTACTTTAGTGTAAACTGCTGAATTAATTAGTAACACAATTAGAAAGCACATTGCTTAAGACTTCAAAGAGAATAGAACTTTTGTTGACCTTTGCAATTTCTCTGTAACTGGAAAACAATATTTAGAAAATTGTGAAATATTTCAAAGAGTTCTGAAGATCAAATGAATTCTGGTATACTACCGAGAGCTATCCCACATGATCAAAGCTGGGAAAGGTATCATTACTGTACATTGGCATTTACATAATCTTTCGCATGCAGAGGAGATTCCACTGACTTACTATCACAGATGACTAACACCTATAACATGTTTGAAGAAAGAGATGATAGGTGATTATTTTGTTTCATTAATGTACCCAGAAAATTCTGACTGTTATCTTGATTCCAGACTGGTACCATTGGTGACGAGAAAGCAGAAATGTTCAGAAGTCAAGTGATTGGAAAAATAAAACTCCTTGGCACTGTAGAAATGGTCTTGCTTGGTGTTGGAGTGGTGATGTTTGTCGCTTTTATGATTTCATACTGTGCTTGTAGATCAAAGAAAGTAAAATAAGTAAGTACACTTGGAAAACAGTTATTATTTAAACATCAACTTATATGCTACTAATTTTGTTTTATCTAAAAGGGGTTATAAGTTAGAGCACAAACATTACTGGAGATGCTTAGCCATCTGGAATTTCTTAGTTAATCTCCCAATTTTTATATGTTTGATGTAAATTAAGAAAGAAATGAAGGCTGAAAATTATATAACTTATTTAGTCATTCAAACTGATAACTAGATTACACCTTTAATTCTTGGAGAAACATCAAAAAACTGTAATCATAACCACTGTAAAATTAGCACAAATATATAACTCTTGTTAAAAACTTGACTTGTTCATTTCCTTAGATGACAGTTTATTATAAAATTTAAAAATAATTTATTTAAAGTCAAAATCACAAAGATATGAGTTGGTTTAAATTTTTAAGTGGAAGAAAAAGATGGTCATTAAGAAAAATAATAGATTTGGTTGCTTCATGGAGATGAACAAAGTTATATTTCATATAAAACTTGATGATTGCATGTACATCTCAGCCATACCTGCCCAATCCTGAATTTGTACCCCAGATGTTTAATGTAAAATCCTGGTAACCAACTAAAAATCACTGTCTGAAGATTTCATAAAAGTTCAGGAATGTGAGGGAATTATTCATTCAATTATTTAATTTAGAGGAAAAAGTAGGTAAATATGTACAATACCTAGGAGTGGGAAAAACTTTAGCATTTGTTCAGGCCTCTGTGACTGAAGTCTCAGTGCCCAAGTTTTCTTGCACATAAACAGAAAACGTTGCCTGACTCCGCCTTCCTTAAATGGAGGTCATGCTTGGAGGAGAAGTCCCTACTTCTTGATTGCTTCCATCATCTCTCCATTTGCAAACCATGTCAAAAAAAGATACAGTGTAAAGAGAACTGCAGATTTGAAAAATCACAACTTCAAAATAAGTGGTTTTTTTCTTCTTAAACAGTTTATTGACCCTAAACTCTCTTATATAGAAATTCTGCTTTTGCTACTGATAACTCATTCTGATCTAATGCTTATCATGCTGTTATTATATCATCTCTAATTTAATTTCATTTGTTTACAATAATCCAGATTCATTAATATTCTGTACCTTCTGGAGCTATTGTAGAAAAATATGAATTATAATAAATGCCAAATTGTCTATATCAAAGTATAAATTAGTCCTATTAATGCTTTCAAAATTAATGCAGAAATTGGTTACCACTATTTTTTATGATAAATGGAACTTTTTTATCTGGGGAAGCAACTCAGCACTGTGTTCTAGATATTTCTGTGACTCTAAATTCTGTTTGCAGTTTAAACAGAACATGTTTAAACTGCTAACAAAACATATTCACATTGTAGTAAATAAAATATTTCACGGTCTCTAATGTATCCCATTAGCCCAATAACAAGTTACAATGGAACAAATATATATCCATATGCGCATTTATGTAGTAGATTAAAATATTCATTAAATTGAGAAAAACTGTGTTCTAGTACAAAAGCAAGCATTTTCAGTAGAAAATACACAAATTATAGTTTCTTTAATCTGTTTGAAACACATGAAAGTTTTCACATGCTCAGTGATTCTTGAATATCAAACTCCTTAGGTCCACATATGGCTAAATCATACAATAATTGAAAGTTGTTGCTATCTTATTATTTTTTTTTGTAAATTTTATTTTCATTGAATTTTCATACAATGTGGTTTGAGGGTATTTATATCCTTTCCCCTATCCATACCTCCTACTATCCCCCACCCAATTTAATGTACTCTCTTATATATAATACAGCTTAAAGCATCTGATTTGTGAACCCAAATATCCTTCGGTGTGAGTCTATCCACAGGGCCCACCAAGAATTCCAGTCTTGTAAGACACTGTCTTTCCTCCTCCCACCAGCCATCAATTGCTAAAAGTTCCTTAAACTCTGGGATTTCTTATCCACTTCCACATGTCTATGCTGGGATTTTGTCTGGTGTGGGCTGGCATAGGACTTGTGCATGCTATTACCATTGCTGTGAGTTCACATGAGTAACTGACCAGCTGTCTGGAAGACTCTGTTTCCTTGTGGTCATCTATTTCCTATGGCTCTTACAAACTTTCTGCATACTCTCCTGCCATGATCCCCGAGCCTTCAGAAGCAGAGGTTTGAAATAAGTGTCCTATTCAGGAATTAAGCACACTGCAGCTTCTGCTTCTCTTCACATTTGGCTAATTGTAGGTTTCTCTGTTAATCACCATCTGCTGCATAAGGAAACTACCCTAGTGAGAATTGAGAGACACATTCATCCTATGTATAGATGGTGCACTAGGATGTGTCACTTAGGGTTAAATGTCTCACAGACTCTTATTTTCTGCATTTGACCAGTTCTGAAATAATCCCCATCTGTTGCAAAAGAAGCTTCTTTGTACACTTTTCTGTAAATATGGGCATACATATTTAGAATAAAGTAAGAAATTATGTTGGTCTAGGGATGTGGCAGAAGTAGATTTTTCTCTCGGATCTATGACCTCTCCAGCCATAGTTATTTGACTATATTTACAGTACCAGGTTCCCACTTATTGAGCATGTCTTTATTCCAATTAAATAGCTGTTTACTACCCCCAAAGGGGCAGTCATTGTTCACTAAAAATATCAATGTTATGTATAACTTTCATTTATTTTATAAGGAAAACTGGTGCCTTTGGAAAGTACTTTTTTGTTACAAATTTCTTTATTTTACTAGACAGCAGAATTACAAGAGAAGCATACTTGGCTTCAACAATAGTCTGAAATATTCTAAAAATTATTTTCTGGAAAAATTTGTGCTAAATTGAAAAAGAAGAGAAAGAATTACAAAAGAGAGTAGAATGGAGTGGTAAAGATCATCTGTGCTTTTACTCCATGGATTATGAGGAACATATACCAAGCTCCTTTTGATTATGGTGACATCTTCACATCTTCATGGTCTTGAGGGTATAGAAGTGATGGTCAGAGCATATTTAATTGATTGCCCTTCCCTGTCTTGCTATGTTCCACTCCTAGAGTTAGGGAGCAGCTTTTCATGTGTCCTTCTTGAATAAGAACATGGTGTTGCCTTAAAAATGAAACCCCCAGAAAGTTCATCTCTTAAGCTTGAGATATTGAGCTGCATAATAGAAAGTCTCATGTCTTGGATGTGTAGAAACAGCTATTTTTAGTTTCTTATTATTTTACTGTATTCTCAGTAGTAACATGTTTTCTATTTTACAGGTAGTAAATGAGCCTACATTTCTGCACAAGCTACTTCAAGATCTTTTGTAATACCAATCTATAAAATGGAGCCTTAATATATGCTTTGTTTTTACAAAAACCAAAACCATTTCTTAGTTGAAGAAATGGTGGCTCTCTATCTCTCTCTTTCTCTCTCTCCATATATATATATATATATATATATTTGCACTAAGCTGAAGCACATTTCAAAAGGATTAATATGTTACTGTAGTCTATATTTTGAACAAAACCAAGCACTTTTCGAAGTCCATCATTTGTGTCACTGAGTAGACTTCAGTTTCTGCAGAACTGATTGATTCTGTTTGGATCTGATTCACTGATGCATTTTCCTGGTGGCAAATTCCAGTAGAAGCACACATTCTATATAAATCCTGTCTTCTTCATCATGCTTGGAGTGTCCCCATTCATTTGCAAAGACAGACCTCAGGACTGTCAGCATGTTGCATTGCATAAGCACAAAATACTTTAAGACATTTAAGAATGAAAAATGAATGACTGGATTATGAGCCGTCGAGTAAGCATTGCTTACATTTCTTTCTCTCTGGAATCCTCTGTATGCAATAACAGATATCATAACTGTTTTTATTTCATAACACTGAGCTTACATATTTGGTCAGTGATCATGAAAATGGACATCATTTTTAGCACATTTTATCTCTTCATATTTTCAAGTCTGTGTTATTTTTCCATGTTGTGTAGCTCTTCCAGAGATGGAGTGGATTTTGTTTTCTACTCAGTTGCCATGTATGCCTAGCACTTCCAAATGCCATTCTAGCACTGAGATGTAAATTATAATAAAGAAGTTATTTTTTTTGGAATATGACAAAAAGTAACGTGCATTAAAATATATTTGTTGTAATATTTTCGTTTACATAGTCACCCCAAAAGGACTGATTCCAATCATTAAAAGATGTTCTTCCTTAAATTCCAGTATTTTGTGCAGTTCTTTTGTGTCACAAAGTGTTCTTTTTTGAAAATATTTTATTTATTATTTTTATTTTATGTGTATGAGTGTATTGCCTTCATGTATGTGAGTGTACCCCTGTAGTGTAATGCTGCAGAGGTCAGAGGAGGGCTTCAGATTCCCTGGGAACTGGAGTTGAGGACAGAACACAGCTGCCATGTGGGTGCTGGGAACCGAACCCCAGTCTTCTGCAAGAACATTCAGGGCTCTTAACTGCTGAGCCATCTCTCCAGCCCCCACAAAGTGTTCTTTATATTCTGTGGAAGTAGTCTATAAGAAGCCATGTTCCTTTCTGAATTCAGTGTTAGCCACTTGCTACACTTCAACCCAGTTGGGGAAAATTCTTGGTTGTGTCTTTTACAGCAGAAGTGAGGGAATGACAGTTGTTTTCCTATTAGTGGGCAAACACTGATAGCCAATCTTGCTCCTTTGACAGAGAGGCCTTCACTTAATTGCAAAAACTAGTCCTAATAAGTTCCAACATAGAAAGGGAAAATGGAAAATAAATCTGTATTGTATTTTACGAATAGAGAGATGGGGAGCGGCTGAGCAGCAACTTTTCTGTCCAGAGATGAAAACTAGGAATAACCGGGATTCTCGATGCACGTTTTCAGATCAAATGTTAAAATATTTCCTATTGAAACCCTCAAGTTTAGGCAACACATCTTTGAAGGAATCTTTTAATCTCTTAATAAGCTCAAAGCATGATAGTGTCTTTTTATTGGGAAACTGTCACTCTAAGGTATTAACATGCAAAATGAAGTTCTGAACATCTCCCTATAAAAATTAAAATCACTTGTATAGCACTGAAAGGCCCTACATTCAAACCACATAGCTATAGAAACAAAGAGAAGCAACTGGGTACTGTGAAATTTGTGACCCAGGTATAGGAAAAGAGGGTCTTGGGAGGCCTGAGCTTGAAGAGAATGAGAGAAGTCGTATGCACCATATTATATTCACCAGCACACAGGCTGACAGGTCATTGTTGGCAAGTGCACAGGCCCTCATGGGCCCACATGCAGACTACCGTACAGGCTGCATGCAGAAGAAATTGTCTCTGACCCCTAAGGCATATTGATACAAATTTCACACAAAGGTGGCATACTGTCAGAGATTATTCATAATTACATAAGAATTATGTCATTGCTTACTCGGATTTTCTTAATATCTGTGCCAGAAAAATTGGGCTGAGATTACTCAGTGAGTAAGAGCACTTGCTATGCAAGCAAGAAGACGTAAGTTCAAATACTCAGAGTACACATAAAAATATGGGTATGTCTACATGTTCCTGTAACTTAAGTGTTGGGGCATAGATACAGTCAGACTTCTCAGTCACACTGGCTGACCACCCAGCAGACTGAAACAACAAGTTTCAGGTTCAGTGAGAGACCTTGTCCTAGGGACTAAAAGAACAGAAGAGGAAACCATGCAACGTCTTCCTCTGGGCCCCATATGCAGATGTATGGGTGCATGCACACACACACACACACACACACACATGTACACACATATGATACAACATATGCAAAAAAACCCAGAAATTGGCATTACTTAGTATTGATTGCCTAAATAAATAAATGTTCAAAGCCTTATCTTTCTTCTGTTTTTCTCAAAATCTATGTTTTAAAAGAAAAAAATAATCTAT